ACTGGCAACCAGCATGGCACGCAAAATGCGATGCCACGTGATGGAATGGACGCAAAGGAGGCCGTGTCAGAGCCGAGTGCAAGTAATATCAGTGCCCCCGGTGGGAAGCGAAAGCCTTTGACAGTCAGCAGCCAGAGCCAGCACCCTTTGAGACCAGATCAGAATGCGTTGAAGAATGACGCGATGGCGGCATCGAGGGAGGAACATCTGGGAATTCTCACCGTTTCAGCCAATGGTCCCGAATCGCATCGACCAGCTGTAAGGCCATCGAATCACCCAAGCCCACCCGCAAAGATGCCGGTGCCCTTGGCAAACAGCAGTAAGAATGTGACAAGCAAGGCTTCGGTGAATGATGCAGCTCAAGAGAGGCCACCTGGGCAAAGTGTTCGCGGAGTGGGACAGGACCATCCGGATCTTATTTGGCATCCAGTTTGGGTGCGGAACGCTATGTCAGTGGTCAGACTAGGGAAGTCGAGAGGGGGGTTATCCTGAGGTGAGGCCACAACAGCCCAAGATTTGCGGCATAGGTTTGTTGAGTGATATTGGGTGAGGGAGGCATCACGATTCAGGCAGCACATTGAGCAGCTAGTGTACTCATTGCCTTGGAAAACATCAGATGAGCTTGGGGTGAATGTGATGGATGTTTGGTTGCTCAATGCTGCACCATCAGAGGAGCATCACCGTTGGAGCATGACTCCTACTTCCGAGAGCTTAGAAGTCGCAGAAGCGAGAGCATCTTGGCATTCTTGGCCCGTTTGGTTGGGAATTCTTGATGCATGCACTACACTTGAGATATAGAACAACTCGACATGTTGCCCCTTGAACTCTAGCAACTCAATCGGGACACAGATCTGCACTCACTGGCCTTGAGGTCGCATCCAGAGGATGACCAGCGCAGCGCGCCCGGGCCTCCTTTCGAGGCACCGACGGAAGAACGAGGACTGGAGGAAGAGCGCCAGGTTTGCCAAAACATCGTCGGCTGGTCTTGACGCAGCGGTGATCCAAAGAGGCCTTTGGTTTAGAGTCTACATACGCAGAGCGCAATAAAACAATGTAATGTAATTAATGTAATGTAAAGCACCGGCAGCACTTGATACCGGTAGGTTAGTAGCTAAACAAAGGTATGAACATGAAACATGTGCCACAATGGAACTAGTGCAATGGCACTGTTGTGCGAGGAGCGCTACCTGCAGAGATTGGCGGATTCGGAAAATCTGCGTTTGGTTTCTTTTGAGATATCAAATGTGCGCACGAGAATAGACCCCCGTTATCCCAGGATATTTTTGCTGACATTGTCTCGCGGCTTTTATGTTGAGGTTAAAGATGCCTCTGGGCGTGTCGGTTCCAGTGCGGCGCTTGGGTCTGCTTTCAGGTCTGTCCAGCTTGTTCATGTTTGATGATGTTTGATGGCATGCAGATCGAACATAAGAAACAATAAGAAACATAAAGACATAAAGAACTGGATCAAAAGAAATAGCTCCTCTAGTTACCAGGCAAGCGAAGAGCTGAGACACTTGAACTAAAGGCAATACAGGGTAGCTTTGAAAAAACATAGTCTATAGGGCATACAGTGGGTTGACCTTTAAAGAATCTGTTGTTGTGGCAGCATAGGATGGCGAACGTATATCAGCACACACACACATATGAGAGCACACATGCGTTTGCAATTTGAGATTCACGTCTGCGCCCGACAGGAGAGCGCATACACCAAATACTTCGCTTGACACTAAATGTGAGAAATTGCTTCGCCTGCCACATCTGCACTAGCACTGCGCCCACGAAATGTAAGTGCTGCGCCTGCGAAGTCTGAACTGGTCCTCCAAGTGCTGCGCCTACCACGAAATCTGCACATGAAGCTCCACAAGATGCCGTGCCTGTAACGAAAGTGCACTGGACATACTGTACAGTATATGTTTGATCCTGTTTGTTTTTCTTTTGATCACCTTGTGTTTTGGGCTTTACGATCTTTTTGTGTTTTGATCCCCTACCCATTGATGCCATCTATTTTGTTCTTGTGCTCGGTGTTTGGTGTCTTGTGCAAGCGCTACACTGTTTGCTCCAGCCACATGGACCGCTGAGACGAACCGTTTCCAGAAGTTTCTTTCCAGAAGCGACTCTTCCAACGAACCAGAAGGTGGGGCGTGCTGACGGGTCATTCAAGCATTCACATGCACTGGCCTTCATGCTGCACATGGACCGCCACAACATTTCTCATGTATGGGCTGGCATCATTTAGATCAGCAAAACTTTGAGTTTACAGAGGTGTGCGGCGTCTATATAGTTTTAATATGTTTAATTGGAGTAGGAACGGGACAAGCCAGTGCAACATGGAGTGAAGGAAAGGTCTTTTGTCGCGCTGGGTTTTGGCAACTTCAATATGTGCTTTGAGCCGATAATGTCCCATCTGGGGGACCTTCCTGGCGGTTCATGTGCCACTCCCAGTTCACTTCAGTATTATTTGACCGTATTTTACTGCCGGGTCCCCTGCAGACGAAGATGAGCCATTGACTCTTCCAGAGATAGAAGAGGAACACTGCTCGGTCCGGATCTCAGCCACGAGCAAGTCGCCTTGTGAATCGACATGCTTTGAGATGAATCGGTTCATGAATGCATGCAGTCATGGGAGTGCTGAAGAATCAACATCACAAAACGGCACTACTGAGTAGTTGGCAGGCTTGGCGGGCAGAGTGGGACAAAGCGGATATCGAGCTAGCAGTGGCCTTGGTTTGACGGTTTGATTGCATTTTTTGGTTTCGATTTAAGAATTTGGGCAGAGAAACTTCTAGGTGAAAAACTACCTTCGTACAAAGACCAACCGAGTCAATTGGTATTGTGTCTGCGGTCATGTGTAAACTTCCATCACGCTTATATTTCGCATCAACCTTGCCGAGTGCTCTCATGCAGCTGTGGGTAGAGCTTCGTTTGGGTCAATTCGATTGGGGATGCTCGATTTGACCGGCCGCAGAAGTCCTGCGGCCCTCGCATGAGCAAAGATCTTCTGAGTGCCTTATTTGACTCGCAGAGCTCAGATGGCTATGCGACAACCCAGTGCGACAGCACTCAAGCTGACTCCGAATTGGCTCTGAAATTGGAGGATGCCGATGCCATTGATGTTTGCTCTACTGATGAAGATGTTGACACCACGGCCAGTGAGGGAGAGGGAGACCAGGAAGATGCAGAGAACACCGACCACAAAGCCTTGGGGGCGCATGGCATATCCGAATTGGTCCCAACTGCGAATGCGAAGCAAGACATGGAACAATGCCTCAGGGACTTGCTTGGCTTAGATGTGAAGCAAAGCCTGCACCCACCAGCACCTCGAATTTTTCAGCGGCAAGCTGAGGCCATGTGTTACTTCTACTCTTTGGTGGCCAATGGAAGATACAAAGCACATCAGTTGGGCCTTTTCTCACGCGAGTTCACGACAACCGGTTGCCGAAACTTCCTCGTTGATACGCATGCCGGCTTTGCCTTATCGTCCTCGCCGCAGTTTCGTCGCTTGGGAGCTCCGGGTGCTCCAGGCGTCCTTCAGGTGCTTCCCCGTCATTTGTATGAAGTCTTAATTGAGAACAAACCATGTTGGCTATACTTTGATCTGGAATTCTCCCGTGTGGAAAATCCTGATCTGGAGCCTGCAGTGGTAGTGGCAGCCTTCATAAGCCTCCTCAACCAGTTCTGCGAGCATCTTTTTGGCCACGAGATTGACAAAACCAGCTTGTATGACCTGGATTCGACCAATGCAGAGAAATTCTCCAAGCATATCATCATCAAAAAGCTACGCGATTCCTCAACTTCCATCGGTGGAACACTCGCTTTTCAAAACAATGCGCAAGCTGGCTACTTCGTGAAGCAATTCATGCAGTTTGTACGGAAACAGCTTGAGGCAACTTGGGAGCTGTGTCAGAACCAGTTCTAGGTACTTTTGCTGCGGGTCTTTTTCCAAAATTAATGCAGCAACCAACATCTGGATGTACTTATCGCAGTGCGGAAGCGACACCGGCCTAGTTAGATAGGCTGTCTCTCCAAGTGCCGGATGCGTCTGCGGCAGGAAGGGAACTGCTTGGCTCCACAGCTCTTTGCTGCAGCCAAACCCAAAAAGGAGGCGCAGCTCGTCTCAATTCCAAGGTCGGATAATTTTTCCTTGCACAGAGGTCCTGCAGCGGTTCCGATGGCCACAGGGTGCTGCGAAGGTCTTTTCTTAGAGGTATTGAGAGAGGTAGATAGACTGATCGATAGATAGATAGATAGATAGATACAGATGGACTCCCATGTTCTTTTTTTAAATATTCTTTCTGGATTGAGGGATTTACTGCTACATGTATATATATATATATATGTGCGCCAAATTTGCAGCCCAAGAGATTTGTACCCACGTGCAGTTGAGGAAGCATGGAGAAGTGGTCTCAGTGGTGGATGAGTCCGTGTGACCTGGCATTGCGACTAGGGACCCTTCGTACGGTGGTGGAGTTGATTAAAAATTGCGTGCCTCCTTTTTGCGGTTTTTGTTGGAAGCTTCTTAGGACGGAAACGCATTTTGCCGCCAGGTATACTCGAAACCGCTGCTTCAGAGTGCTCTTCAGCACGAAGCTCCTTGAATGGACGGGCGCTGCAGTCCTTACAGTCAAAATGCAGCATTGATTGATGCAAGGATTGTACGGGGTGGTGTTTGAGTATACGTTTCTGGCAGGGTTGCTCCCCTGTACTGCCCTCTCCTGTTGGATTTGTCAACTGGGCCCAGGTTTGGCAAGCGAAGACCGCTGCTTCCGACGTGGAGTGGCACCCCACCGCTGCAGCTTTTGGAAAGCCTGGCGTCCTTCGTGCCGGAAGGCACACCTTTGTGCAGGCGCCTCTTGTTCTCTCGTTCACTCGTAGGGGAGGCGACTCAGAAAATCAGACCCAGACCCCGGGTCATATTGTCCATTCACGATGTTTTTTTGAGGATATCCGATTTCCAGCCATGGACAGTCGAAGCTTCATTCCCTGTGCACCTTTGCGCATGACCTGCATGACATCCTTTTTGTGAGAGGCATCCGATGATTCCGTCTGACTGGGACCACGAGAGCATGAGAGCTAGCCGGATCGGAAGGGAACTGGGTGCGAAAGACTCCAGGACGAGGACAGTTTCCAAGCCGAATGCTTCTTGTTTGCACATGGTTTCCAAACATCTGACAGCCAGAGAACATGTGCAGCCCTGTTCTGTATGAGGTGGTAGATATTCCTATCTCAGAGCATTCAGAGCTCTTCAGGTGGGTTGGCTGCTATCCTTCTCACATGTCGTTCTTGGAGACTTGAAGACATCATAAGTGATAGGATTGAGAGGTCATGGCCATGGGTCACACAAAGTTGAGTCGATACGAGGCATTTGATTGAGCTCTGGGACGACGTCCGAAGGAAGAATGATCCTGCAACATCACACGTGCAGCCTACGCGTGTGCAGCGCAGCTTTCGCATGGGTACTGGTGACTTCATAGTGGTTGCTTTGGCCAACAATCGCTTCTGTTTCAAGAAGGGAGCGGCTTGGCTGATTTGTTGGGTCTTGCCTCCACACATAGCTCCACACAACACGCTTGAGCTGTGTGACCAATTTGTTCCACCTTCATGTGAGATCTTGAATCCCTGCTGCCTCATTCTGTTGCTGTTCTTGCTTGTTTGGTGGTGAGGCATCTCACAAGTCCAATGGCATCTACCTCGTGATTAACCAGAGAAGATGGGTGGTTTACCAGAAGCGCCTGGGCTTTCTTTGGCTCATGTGCAGCATTGGCATTCGCCGACAAGGGGAGACATGTCGGGAGACAAAGCTGTGAGATTCACTTGCACACTGAGCACATTCTTCCGCGCTTGCAGGTGTCACGATGTTGCTGATTGCCCCGACTTCCGCTCCCATGAATTCGACCTGCCAAAGGCGCTGGGTTTTGCTGAACAGTTTATTGGGCTGTTGTAGCGACGAATCGACAAAATGAAGCCTTCACAGCGACTACAAGCTGCCACCCGGAGTGGGAACAAAGACATGCCCACAGGGGTGGACAATGGTGTGAGTTGGAGAGGTGTTGTTGAGGCTGCCTCTTTTTGCAGGAACTGCGTCCAGAAGGTTTTGGACCACCACAGGACAACAATCTGGAAGAAGATCCGGTGTCCCAGGAGAGCAGAAATAAAATAGATGGGCAAACATATCTCTCCGATGCGGCCGATGCAGAAAGATTCAGCTTGTCTCACATCACATCCATAGAGTGACAAGACAACGGTAACAAAGAATTGGAGCTTTGTTTGGATTGTGCATCCACAGTCAAGTGAAGTCCGTGAAAATCGGGTTTTGGATTTTTCATGATCGCGTCGCAATCGAGTTGGGCGGGGCATGTCGCGTCGCACAGGAGCTCCTTACTCAGATCATGGCAGATCCAGTGACGCCCAAACGTGTCCATTCAGGTGGAAGGCGGGAGGAAGTCTATAGTCTATAGACGTTCTTTTTCTTTTGCCCATTTCAGTCATGAATCAATTGATATGGGTATATATCGGATGGTGAGAACAAGAAGCATCCCAAAAGCGGCAGGTCAGCGGTTCTATTCATTTGGGGAGTCGACCAGGTCATGGTGTGCTACGACCCAGTTCCGCCACATGTGGGACACACAATCCTGCTCTCCAGGTGCGCTTCCAGATCCCGTAGCTCTTCGTGCAAGCTCTGCCGGGGGGAGAATCTGAAGAGGCACACTGGCACCAAATTTCACACGCAAGTTCACTATGTTTTGACACCATCGACGAGATGTTTGCCACTGGTGTTGGCTGAATTGATTTCCTAGACTCCAGATGACTTACGGCCTTCTTTATCCCTCAAATTCCAATTCAATTGGCAGCAAGATGCAGCAAGTGTGTTTGCAAGCCTTTTCTGGACTTCAGATCAACTCGCATGGCCAGGGGTTGACTGAGGCGTCGATCTCTTTTGGGGGAATCTCATTTGGAGAGTGTCCTGGCAGCCATGGAATGATTGAGAGGCTGTGGATGGCTGCGGATTTTGTGACGAGGGTTGATGGATGTTGATGGTTGTGTTTTATCGATAGCTATATAAACTTTGTCTCTTGACACTGCCTAGCCCTTACCTGCTTGATGTCGAGGTGATGCCGAGATGAACCTGACCCGCAGAAACTCCACGCGATGTGAAGATTGATGCACTCATTCCGGGATATGCAGCAGACACCAGCGAAGGGCGGCTGCCGCCAACTTCCAGAAACCACGCGTACTACAGCTGACACTACGAACCCGCGTGGATTCGGCGCCTTTAATGAGGGGCAGCTTTTGTGCAGAGTGCTCTGCACATTGGAGTTTCCAACAGCTTGTTTTCGAGAAACTTTAAGATCAGAAGTGTACATTGCATGTTCTTTTTGTTTGTATATATGGCCAGTTGTTCCAGTTGCGCTTGAAGGGTGGAGCACCTGTAGGAAATCAAGTGTGCTGGAGCGTTGTAGGATGATTATGCCGACAGTGACGATGCCGTTTGCTTTGGAAAACATATGCTTTTGCGGCAGACAAGTCCCCTTACTTGATTAAGTAGACGCCTACTTAAGTAAGGGGTCGGCCCCGCAAAACATCTCACTCTTGTTCAGTTTGTCGCACAGCCACGCTCTGTTTAGCTCACCGCAGTGAGCTGACAAGAGGATGTTTAACGACCACTTCCCTAGATGTCCCACAAGCAACTGGAAGACTTTCTCCAAACCCTGCTCCAGTCTTCCTTTTCACAAGGGAGAAACCATTGGATGCCCACCAATATTTTTTGGACCCTTGGTTGTTGGCCTACTGCAGACACAGCAAGGCTGGCACGCGCAAAGCGTCTCGATTTCAGCGGGCTGTGAGGTGCGGGAAAGATCGAAACCGCAATGGAATGGCAAACCTCGCTTTGAGACATCGGCTGCAAACCCATCTTTAGAACCGTGGACTCAGGTTTGCATTTTTCAAACTTGATTTTAGCGAGAAACCTGCTCTTTTGTTGCAGTTTCCAACATGCCCCGCCAAAAAGAACCCTGACATCTCTACATGAGATTGACTAGGACAATTGACCTGACGCACTCTTCTTGCCAGGTTGTTTCGCTTTCATCAAGTGTCTAGGGATGATGCGGTGGGTATTGGAGGCACTCGGAGCGGTGCGGCGATTGGGTTGGCGATCCTGCATCACTTGCAGATCTGTTGAGACTTCGAGCTTTGAGCCAAATTGGCTTGACCACAGCATGCCGCAGCGCTTTCACTGTCTTGCTCCTGTCCACATGCAGGCCGGAAAAAGCCAAAGGTGCATCCATTGGTGCGTGTACTGCCCAGCTCTATACGCTACATATTTGGAAGCGTTTGATTCTTGATTAAATTGATTCCTCAGTTCTCCTGAAACACAACTGTTGCGCTGAGGTGCTTTATTTAAGAATCTCCTGAAGGAACTGTGCTGGGACAGTGCTGGAGCAGGGTCCTAAGAGGCCCATGACTGCTGTGCCGATCTTCGTGCCGATGATGTCCTCAAGGACAGACCCTCCTCAATCATCACTTCTCGTGTGCTGGCAGGGGGCCCAGGGGGCCTTGAGGTTTTCAACCTCCGGAAAGCAACAAGTGATCAACGGCAACACTGTGAAACCGAGGTTCATGATCCCAGAACACCTCCAGTGGTGAGAATAGAGCCGAAGGCGAGCATGTGGCTTGTGGCACATGCTGGATCATGTCGTGAAAGGTGGGAAGGAAACATATGGCTGTATTATATGGTTTCATAGAGTTCCGCAGGACGTGGTTGCACGGTTTGTGACACGGAATGTCACAACACTCTCTTGGGGAAAAAGATCCCGCCGCAAGACCGGCCGGACCGCCCGCAGAATAGCTTGGAAGGTTCCTCCAGACTGCCATCGCATGCGCTTCAACGCAGCCTTAGGACTGCCGCATTGAAGATTCATTGAAGGGTCTTATATATGTATAACTATATCATTATAGTTATACAAATATCGAACTATTTCTGAAGCAGCATCCAAGACTTAGAGCAAATGACAGTGTCCGTCACTTTTCCTTGTGTCTTTCGAGGATGGAGATGGCACCGCTTCACACTTTCTCCCGGGAAAGCCGGGGGCCATAACAAGAGCAGAAGCGCTCAAGGACACGAGCAGCCGCTGGCAAAAAGCACAGTACGAACTTTGACTTTAATTGTTAAGAGGTGTTCATCCTTCTTCTTTTTTGTTAGGTGGATACTTGCGTACTTTATACCTCTTGACGACCGAAAAAGACAAAGACTGTCCAAATCGAGCGGCTTGAGCTCTAGGTTCAGATCTTGGTGCAGGGTCCGATCTTAGTGTCGCAGGCGGTCTCCCGGTGCCCCATGGGTTGGCGGTTTGGTTGCGCCCACGCGCCGACAGGTGACCAACGACAGTGCCCGGAGCATACGCACCAGTGCAGCGCAGCACGTGAGGAGCTTGCTTGAGGCCGAAGCGACCAGAGCCAGACTTGGCACTGCTTGACTTGCTTCACTCAAGCTTCCATTCCCATGCTTCCGTAACAACAGCAACGAACCGGTATGATGAGCCCCAGGTGTCCAAAATGTCCTTCTTTAGCGTTCGCTTTCCCTGAACTCGCTCGCCCGTGATGTCGGCCGCGAAGAGGCCCAGCTGCATGGGGACACGGTGAATCAGCCGCCGGGACGCCTAGCAAACGTAGACGGCGAGTGCTGAGCCAGACAGATCAACAGAGGGATGACGAGGGATGTGGTTCAAATTCCTCCAAAGCAACATGGATGCCCTTACTTGGGAGGGCATCTGACACCGGATGGTCACCCAATCCCCAAAGAAGAATAATCTTACTGTAAAGGCTTCTCATGTTTAAGAATCTAAGAACCTGAGAAGACTTATATAAGAACTTTGGGAGAGTTCTTGTTGGGTCTGTGCAGTTGCCAGGCCAAAATTCATCATTCCCACCAATGATGGAGAAGAAGGTGTCGGTATCTCAGAAATCGGGCCGTCAGGCGGAGGTGCGTGGACTATCGACATAGTGTTGCGCGTGCGACATTGTAACAAGGGCCTGTCGAAATGCATCCCCACAAAAGTTAAAAGCTTAGTGGGACGCTCCGTGTTACTGATACTGGTCGATTCGCTGCCTCCTATGCACATAATTGGGAAATGTTACCACCTCACGCATAGCACTGCAGCATTGTTTCATTTCGGCTGATTGTAACCAGTGCCGGACCGGTAAGTTGAGAGCAGCTTGAAGCATTGACCATGCAGAATTGTTAATAGTGTTTGAATTCAATGTTTAAATTCCTTCACTTGGGGCTCTTTAATTGCCCACAACGTGGGAACTGCAACACTGTATATATATATATATACATACTTTGATCAACATATGTCGAACCGATGGGTCGCATGCTTGATCGCAGTCCAAAGGCCCAGCCACTGAGTCGCTACGGAGTCGCTTTCTTCGACACTTTTGGGCATGATCGGGTTGAGTCAAAGTGGCTTTCGGAGCGTCTGCAGTTGGTTACAATGGCCAACACAGATCAATTCATGAAGAAGGGAGCACGGAGAAGGTCTTTAGCTTCAACACGATATCATGTTCGGAAGCTGGTGTTAGCTGTTACCGACGATGCCCCCCCACATCCAGCATAGTGACATGCATGCGACGCACGTGTGTAAGGTCGAAGTGAAAGCCAAGCCTAGAGCTGAATGAGCTGAGATTCTTGCAGGCTTTGTTTGGATCTACAGGGTCTTGAGCAAATCAGGGTACTCTGACTCGCTGCTAGCTTGTTCTCCAATGTTCCGAGTGGCGTGGAGTACGTGCCGTGCGAAGGCAAATTGTGTGCTGCTAGTATAGATGCACGCGCACTTATTCAGACTTTTACGGCGGTATTTGTGCATCATATATTTGCATAAACCCTGTTATAGTTATAGCATGCATAGTTGCATACGTCCAATCGAGGCCTTGGCATGAAGTTCAGGTGCAGTATGCACTGTTGCTTCCTCAGTGTTATAGGTACCAAGTGGTTCTTTCTTCACTCTCTGGAATGGAGAAGTCTGCCAAACTACTACAGAGACCTCAGTGGGTTTTCAACAAACTTTTTCAATGCTCAGGACCGACCTTGGCCGGCCTGATGGTCATCACCCAAGCTGAAGCTGCTGGAAAGTCATGCTGAACGGACTGGCCGTTGTGTGAATTGCTGGACGCTGCGACACGCACCTTTCGTCGTCCCGAATGGAAGGTTTGCTGTTCGTTCATTTGGAAAGGTAAATCATTGCTAGTCGGATCTAGGCTGCATAACAATGCATATTTGCCCATCCGTCGAGCGCACAGTGCGGGAAAGTCCCAGTCCCTTTTTCCGAGGCAGCACCGGTGGATTCTATGGGCTCATGCGACGGACGCGGTTCATCAAACTGGAGGCCGAAAGGGCAAAGCGGCAAAGGTCAAGTCAAGATCAGCAATAATAATGGACTATATATAATGGATTTGGGTTCGAACATCTTTGAACATCCTATAGAACCTTCTTTGAAGTTATTCTTGGCTTGCACAGGGTGATAGGCTGGCAAACTGGCTGTACTTCACCTTGCTCCTCCATCGCCAGTGCGGTACAGCCGCCCTCAGGTCCTAAGACGGCTTTTCGCAGAGGATGGTGATGGTGCATTTCGACCTGGAGCTTTCGAAGACTTCCGGGATGAAACTCTATCTCAGCCTTTGACGAACGCTCTGGCGCCGGAACACCCAGAGAGATTCTTTGTGTTTCTTCTTTTTGATCCTATATTAATATGCGATGCAGACGGCACTGCGAATCAAGCGGAAGTCTGATTCACCGCGACTCGAGGTCCCTGGAATCCGCTCCGCGACCGCCTGGATGGAACCTAGGCGTTGTGATGACCAGTCTCGGCCGGCCTTGTAGGGCTTCTAAGCGAAGAGTGCACCGAAACTGTCATCCGCTTGGCGTTCAGAAACTCGGGTTCCGAGCAACTGCGCTTCAGCAACTGGCTCCATCCATTTACCGTTGCCATCGGCTCATCGAATGCCATCGAATGCCCGCATGACAGATGGGGTGGGTGCTGCAGGTGATGATGCTGATTTGCACGTACTGGAGGCAGACTCCACGATGCGAACGCCTCCTTCTGAGAAACGCTCGAAACATGGCCTTTGGAATCCAAGAGTGCACATCCATGAATCGGCATCCAGGAAGGAGAGATGACATGAATGCATGCTTTACGATGCTTTTCGGTTCGTGGGAGAATCCATGCCCAAATGTAGCTTCTGAGGCGCATGCTGCTGCAGTATGAAAAAAATGAGCTGAAGCGAGCTCGAAACTAAGAACTCAGCCGACCGCACACGCCACGTACTTCTTAAAACCCCTTTTGGTCTCACGAACTTCTACTTGTTTTTGAGTTGTTTAACCGTGAGGACATTGTCTTCCTGAAAGGCCGTTTGTGCCTCAGAGTCCGACAGAGTTTTGGTCGTCAGGACTAGCTCACGACCTCGGAGATGACAGGAACATACAGGAACATCCGTGTCATTTTCCATTCAACCTTTGGGATGATTTGGGATCTTAGACTCCAGCCTGGTTGGGGTTGGGAGTCACGCCTGCCAGCTCTTCTCAAGTCAAAGCGATTCGACGGTCCTCGCTTCTCGACTGTACAGTTGACGGTGGAGTCGCTCTCAGGCTTTGAGCAACGTGAGGGTCGATTGCAGATGCCGGTCTATAACTCAGCTGACTGTCCAGTTGTGGGTGCAACATCCAACAACGACAACAGCTCAATGGCCGCATCTTCATTATACAATATGCTGAATTGAAGATCCCATTCAATTCCCTGCCCGTTGCCTTGAGAAATCCAGTTTCAGCTTGTGAGCTTCAATTGGACCTTGAGAAAACTGCTGTCGTTGCCTAGGGCACTGGTGCTTCGGAAGATCTTCTAGTAGCACCCTCGGTTGGCAAGCATCAGCAAGCAGTTGCTTTGGACTTGGAGCCTTGCCTAGAAAGCGACAATAATTTCTGCCTGCCATTCCATTTCCATTTCCATTGACGCATAATGCTCGGCTCAAGCTCAGCGTCTTGCTGACTTGAATTCATTAATTTCTTGCACAGAAAAAGTCAGGACCGGGCTCATTCAGTTGTTGGTCTTCAAATTCCAACACTAAACTGTGGAGCCACTTTGTAGACTCCGGGAGCACTTCGGTCCTGACAGGCTGAGACTCCAACCATATTCTGAATAATTGGGCACCAAAGGAACAGAATTGCGGTGGATATTCCTTCAAGTGGCTAGTGCGCCACTTGCCCTCTTTCAGACCTATGTTGGAGCCTGTAGCACAGACTGCGCTTCGCATCCGCTGTTCGCAGTGCTGTGCCTTGGTGAGCTCAACCCCGGATAACATTAGGGTGGTAGGTTTTGGGCTGTCAGCGCCAAAGAAACCTTGCAGCACATCGAGAAAAACAAAAAGGTTCGTTTCCTCAAACCACCGCACTATCTGCGTCATCCAAATAGATGGTGCTTTGGTGTGCCGTGTTCCCCCTTTGTGTGGATTCCGAGGGTGCTCTAACCAAGAAAAACCTCCAGAAAGTGCTTGCAACAATACAGCTCTCAAGCAGAAAAACATTAGCACATTTCCTATGGAAACTTGCTTGCCTTCACGCTTGGATAGGCTGCTCAGACCCCAAAGTTGAGGATCGCATCGTACTGGCCGTGGTCCTCGCTGTAGTTTGTCCGGAAGGCTTTCCCAACGAGCTATGCTCCAGGATTCGCACGGCGGCCCACCATACAGCCCTGCTACAAAGCCTCCCCTTATAAGGTCATACCACAACTTCTGCTGTTTTCCTTGTGACAAATCACATCTTGCCGGGTCTATCGCGACATCGACCGAGACAACAGTCATAACTGTTCCTGACGGAAGCGGCAAGCGTTCAAGCTCCATCTGTATGTCTCGTTCTCGTCGGCGACCACTGAAAAGGTGCAGAACAATAAGTTCAGTCGGTAGGAAATTCCGCAGCTTCGGGTCTGTGGGGATACATCGAATCGAACTGCGATCAGTCTCATCTGCCAGTCTTCCTTCATCTCCGTGGGCATTAGTCACAAGGGCGTTCTTCCCTAGTTCGGTCAGCCAGCTTTGAACAGCACAGCCTGAATGAAAAATTCTGGAATCTGTGGTTTCAAAACCCTGTGTCCAGGAGTGAAGGCTAGCGCAAACTATCGAATAAGGCACCGCAACTCGACATGCTTCTTGAAGTGCAGCAGTTAACTGCTCTACAAATTCGTCTTCCTGTTCAGGACACATGAACGTGTGAAGCGTCTCATTCAGACGACTTTTCACTTTTTCAGTGTCTCTGTCAGTCTGACGTGGTCCCTCAAAGGCATCTTTTGTCAATCGATACCAAGGAAACTGTGGGTGTTCCGAGCATGACTTCTCATGTGCAGGAAGATTCTCTCGATTCTGCTGGAAAAAGGCTCGACAAGTTGCACTGTATCGAAGATGGTGTCGCAATCGTTCCTGCGACAAATACACCTTCGCACAGCAATGACATGTTCGCCCCTGTACTGCCTCACCAGATTCACTCACGTAATTGTGTTTCTGACAAGCATGGAGAAACCATCCCTGCGGCGCAGAAAAGGCTCGTTCACAGATTACACAAAAATGCTGGCCATGCTTCGGTTGATCCAACAGTGACGTGAGCTCGTGCACACGCAGAATGTCAAAAATGCTCCTATGCTCTTTGGTTGTAGCAGCATTTCGCAGTTTCGCCTGTGTTGCTCGGTACAGGGCTGTTCGCCCAAACCGAGCCCATTGTTTTGGTTGTGTTGCTAAGTGCCGCCATGCTTCTCCATCGTGCAAAACCTGGATTGGAGAATCCCTGCCAAGCAGATCTTGGGCCCATTTCAGAGACTCACAGTAAATGTGCATAGCACTACTATCGTCTGCAACCAAGGACCAAAGAATATCTGGGGCAGTTCTTAGAAGAGCTCCAAGATAACGAAATCTTGCGATCTGCAAAAGGTCATGTGGATCTTCACATTGCAGGAAACATCTGGTGTCATCCCTAGACGGAGCCAGCATTGTACGCGGCAACATCATCATATAAAGATTCCACAAAGAGGTAGTCCAGGCTTTTTCTTCACGTTGATTAAGCTGTGTCCAAGCCCCGGCACCCCATGTCATGATGGATAAGACTGTTGATCGAAAAATAGTCATTCGTGTTTCAAGTGGGATCCTCTGCTGGCGGAAAACCTGCTTTGCAGCCCTCCAAAAAGCAGAACGTGCCTTTGTGAATCTTGTTCGAATCTCAGGAAGCAAACTTCCACTGGCATCAATGATCCCCCCAAGATGTCTATATTTGGGTACAAGAGGGAGTTGAACTATTGCGTCATCCAGCAGGACCGGAAAAGTTGCATTGGTTTCAGCAAAAAGCCGCCTTCTCATGCGAACTGCACCTGGTCCTCTCGGCGAGACGACTGCAGCAGTTTTTGTTTCACCTATGGACACTTTCATGCCATATTTGTGAAGCTTCTGCATCAGTATGTATGCTATCGTGGCCAGCTTGTCTTCAATCTGCTTTGCATTCTCGAACTCAGCAAAAATCGCTAAGTCGTCTGCCCAAGTAACTTGAAACATAGGCAGGACACATTCAGGAATAGTGCTCTTATATGGATCACACACTTTTGCAAGTGGTACATGCAGGAGCAGTTCTTGAGCCTCGAGCTCCTTTTGTACCTCTGCTAAAACCTGTGAGAATACAAGATTGAAAACTATGTCAGCCAACGAGTCACCTGGCCGGGTGCCACGGTATGTTTGGACAAATTCACGTCCTGTGTAGCTGAAATATGTGCCTTCCAAGGTTTCTTGTAGCACTTGATGCTGTACAGGTCCTGCTCCAAGTTCCTGGTACGCACATTTCTTGGTCATGCTGTCATGTATGAGGGACATGGACTCGGGACCAAGACCCATTCTGTGCAATACCAGTGCAAGGTCATCATCGGCTAGTCGGGCGCCGGTCGCAATCTGTCGCAAGACACGATAATAGGCCGATTGTACATCGCAAAAAAGTATTGCAGTACTTTTCTGCTTTCTTTTGCCTCTATCGACGAACAAGCGTGATACATGCGTACCGAAAAGGACCTGTTGCATAGGCTTGCCACCCAGTTGAAGGTCATCAGTGGCCTCTAGATACGGTGTATTGAGCCTACTCCGGATGGAGGATCTGACCGCTTTACCAAGTACAGAAGTCAGCAAAATACCTCGGTGGTTTTGACAGTCGGACTGTGAACCTTTACCCTTAAAAAGAGAAATGATTTGTCCCCCTTTCCATTGTAGCGGCTCTTCCAATCTGAAAATCATTTTCAAAACGACAGGATAGAGCACTGCAGCCGCATCACTTGGACATGCCTTCAGCAATTCATTTGGCAATCTGTCCGGACAAGGGGCTTTGCGGTAGCTCATTTTACGAATTGCCCTTTCAAGATCAATTCGGCTTGGTAAATCATCCGACTGGTATTCACCTGGCTTGCACAGATCATGCTGGCGTTGTAACATGGTATTCATGTAAGTCGAGACATCAGTCTCACGTCCAGCCTCAAGTTGAGAAAAGTGCCTGACCCATCTGGCATTAACCTCCTCAAGAGTCTGTAGGACATGACCTTCTTCATCTTGTAGTACTGGTAAGGGCTTTGGAAACAGCGTTTGCTTTTTAGCAGGCTGAAGGATAGGCCTTAAAGCGGCAAACACTTCACTGGGCTTGGCATTTTTAGCATCCTCGGCTACACCGATGATAAAGGTTCGCCGGTCCATCCTTAGCTGCTTTCGGAACTGCAAAGAGACTCTTTTAAGCTCTCTCACATGTCTCACAACAGCAAGCGAAAGCAACTTGTTCCAATGGCCCCAGGCATAACTAAATCCTTTACCCTTTTTGCAGGCACTCCATGCTCGGAAAACGGCAACGCACAAGGAAAAATCATCATGCTTCTTCAATGCGCGCAAAGCTCTACGAATGCAAGTCAATTTGCGATGCAGTTCTCTGCTTTCCTCCGAGACATGTTCCTTGTGCCGTTTACCTCGCTTCTTCGGAAAATGTCGAATCGATTCTTGCTGTAGATGGTTTGTGATCAGTGCCGCATGCTGTGAAGCATTCATGCCCCATTCTGGCGCAGGACATGAGGCCCATATTTCTCGCACAAGGTCCTGATTGGCTGGATTCCTAAGCGCGACTTCATCAATTCTCTTGTTAGTGAATCGATGTTGCGTCAACTGGTTCCATGAAATGCCGAGGCATGTGCACTCATGGTCCAATCCAGCATGTCCAGCATGTATGTCGTCATCAACCCATGCTT